GATTTCAAAATTTGGCTATGTTTTTTGCACATAGGTACAGGGATAAAAACTCCATCGGACACCCCTGTCCAATTCTGTATGTGGAGAAGGTAATGTCGTGGGGAGCTGGGGTTTGTTTTGTTGTACTTCTGGGAGGCCGTAGATGTCCATTGATGTGCTTTGGAGGGGGCTAGATGGATTTCAAAATTTGGCTATGTTTTTTGCACATAGGTACAGGGATAAAAACTCCATCGGACACCCCTGTCCAATTCTGTATGTGGAGAAGGTAATGTCGTGGGGAGCTGGGGTTTGTTATGTTGTACTTCTGGGAGGCCGTAGATGTCCATTGATGTGCTTTGGAGGGGGCTAGATGGATTTCAAAATTTGGCTATGTTTTTTGCACATACAGGGATAAAAACTCAATTGGACACCCCTGTCCAATTCTGTATGTGGAGAAGGTAATGTCGTGGGGAGCTGGGGTTTGTTTTGTTGTACTTCTGGGAGGCCGTAGATGTCCATTGATGTGCTTTGGAGGGGGCTAGATGGATTTCAAAATTTGGCTATGTTTTTTGCACATACAGGGATAAAAACTCAATTGGACACCCCTGTCCAATTCTGTATGTGGAGAAGGTAATGTCGTGGGGAGCTGGGGTTTGTTTTGTTGTACTTCTGGGAGGCCGTAGATGTCGATTGATGTGCTTTGGAGGGGGCTAGATGGATTTAAAAACTTAGTCTCCGTCTAATGGATTCTGCTGTGTTTGGCTCTTTGGTGACTTAAAAAAAGTGCATCACAAACCTATACCAGATGACTCAGGGGGTATTGAAACGTGCTCCTAGATGGTTTTACAGGGCACTTTTTTTGCACCCCTGTCCAATTCTGTATGTGGAGAAGGTAATGTCGTGGGGAGCTGGGGTTTGTTTTGTTGTACTCCTGGGAGGCCGTAGATGTCCATTGATGTGCTTTGGAGGGGGCTAGATGGATTTCAAAATTTGGCTATGTTTTTTGCACATACAGGGATAAAAACTCAATTGGACACCCCTGTCCAATTCTGTATGTGGAGAAGGTAATGTCGTGGGGAGCTGGGGTTTGTTTTGTTGTACTTCTGGGAGGCCGTAGATGTCCATTGATGTGCTTTGGAGGAAATTTGGCTATGTTTTTTGCACATACAGGGATAAAAACTCAATTGGACACCCCTGTCCAATTCTGTATGTGGAGAAGGTAATGTCGTGGGGAGCTGGGGTTTGTTTTGTTGAACTTCTGGGAGGCCGTAGATGTCCATTGATGTGCTTTGGAGGGGGCTAGATGGATTTCAAAATTTGGCTATGTTTTTTGCACATACAGGGAT